TCTATTATTGAGCTATGCCACTAGACCTTTTTTTTTTTCTTTTTAAAATTTGAGACAAGAGCTTGCCAAGTTGTCCAGCTGTGATCATTCTACCTCAGCCTCTCAAGTATCTGGGCTAAGAAACTTGACTTTTTTTAGGTGAAACTTTCACTACATTTTTTAGCATTATGCTGTACCAGGGATTCATGTATAGAAAGGAACACAAGATGCAGAAAATGATGAAAATTAAACACAATGAGGCTGGAGTTTGATGTACACATAAAGTAGTATCAAAATATTGGCTAATAGCTCTGCCTTTTTGAACATAGTAAACTTTTCATAGCCAATGTAGACCATTCTGGAGAGAACTAGAAAAACAAAGAAAATGAATATCATCTGGCAGTCAAAAAGCAAGCAAAAAAGTAAATCATCTGTAATTTTACTTACCCTGCTAGCTGCTATCAAGAGCTTCTCCAAGTGTCTCAACCATTCAAAAATAAACTCAGCCTTCTGAACTTCACTTAGTTGACTATATGCCTCTTCATTCAGCAATAAGCTATGAGCTAATTCCATTCCTTGTAGCAAATTCTCTTAGCTGGTCACAACTTTTCTCAATGAACTGATCAATATATCTAGGAACAAAAATATGCAGAAGAAGAAAACAACATATTTTAAAAGGAGTATAAGAAGGAAGGCAGCTAAAATAATAGAAATCTTATAACAAAATGTAAAAACAATAAGCATGGTGGTGCACACTTGTAATACCAGCACTCAAGAGGCTGAAACTACAGGTCTGTTGAAGGCAGCCTGGGCTGCACAGTGAGTTCAAGACCAGCTTGAACCACACAGCAAGACACTGTCTCAAAAGAAAAAAGTAAAATGCAAAAATAAAATAATTAAATGTCTTCATCTTTTGTAACTGTTCTAGGGTGAATGAATCTGAGAAAACCCCAGTAAGTGATCATTAATACTGACAAACAATAACCTTTGTATTTAGTTTTTTTTTAAGTGGTATCAGAGATTTAAAAAACAACAGATAAACAAACGAGTATTTTACCACTAATTTACATCCTCAGCTTGTTATTTATCTGACACAGGTCTTGCTAAATTGCCCAGCCAACCTCAAATTTGCAATTCTTCTGGCTCAACCTCGAAGAGTGCTGAGATTACAGGAAATTCTAGAATTAAAGTCATATTACCCAGGGTTAGTTATTAGTTTTCTTTCTTTTCCTCCACAGCCTTTTGCCAATATGAGTCATAGACATACATTATAAAATGAACACATATCCAAACCTTCCACTACAATTCTATTAGTAAAGCTTGCCACAGTGGTTCATCATTTACCTGGAGAGGCAACCAAGGAAAAGAGGGATTTAAAACCATCAGTGCCTATTTCCTAGCCTACTAATGATACTACTTACAGTTTTAGGCTAAGAATTGCAGGAAACAGTTCCATCTCAGCTAGCAAAGTGTTCTTGTCTCTGTGAGCCTTGTTGGAAAAGCAAACTTTTCTTTTTCATGGCACTCAGGGGAGGCTGTCTAGGAATTCTAACAATAAAGATCGTATCTATTATGACTCAGATACAATTTGACTTTAATTTTGCTGCAGCAAATAATCAACAAGTTTTTTTTGTTTTATTCATCATTATTTCCTGTGTATATTCTATCCAGTAATTTTTATTTTATGTAAAAAAAATTTTTTTTGGTACTGGGATCAAACTCAAGACCTTACACTTGCCAGGCAGGCACTGATGCTGCTGAGCTATCTTCCCGACCCCTTCTGTGTACAATGTAAACCTTTCTGGAACACATATAACATATAATTATGTCTCTATATAAACATACACACACGAATAAGATGGCACTGTGATTATGGGAATTTTTTCTTTTAATATTTAGGAGTATATGCTCAAATAAGTTGCCATAAAGCACTTATTTTTTTAAAATTATACTTTCATTCTTCTAATTTTTTAAAAAAAAATTTATTTATTTGGTACAGGGTCTTGTAGCCCAGCCTGGACTCATAGTGATCCTTCTGTCTTGGCCTCCCCAGACCTGGGATTACAGGCATGGGTTACCACAACTGGTTTCGGTGGCTGGCACGGCACAGGTTTTGGGGCCGGCATGGCATGAGGTATTCAGGGATCAAACTCAGACCCTTGCGCTTGTCAGGCAGGTGCTTAGACCACCAAGCTATCTCCCCAGCCCAATTTGATTACTTTTTAATAATCAAATCAACCATAAAATCTTGCAAAATGCTAACAGATGAATGTAATCGGAGGTATGTGAATAATCACTTCACTGGTCTTTATTTCTTGCAATTTTCTGATCATTTAAAAAAGTAGAAATCATCCCATGAATATCTGTGTGTGTGTGTGTGTGTGTGTGTGTGTGTGTACGCTGATTGAACCTAGGGCCACTGACTCTGTCATGTATCTAGCTCTTCTTTTTTTTTTTTTTGCTCCTTGAATGCCTTCAGGGCACTTTTGCATGGCTGGAGTGTTGTGGGGATCGAACTACAGCAAACTGAGGCTGCCAGCATTGTGGAAGCAGCCACTTAAAGAACTGAGCTAGGGCTGGGCCCCCTAGCTCTTCTTAAAAATGCTTTTGAGAAAAGGTCTCGTTAAATTGCCCAGGCCTTGGACTATCAAATGTTGAGGTTACAGTCATGCATCGCTGTACCCAGCTTGGAGTTTTAAAATTTTCAATTCCTGCCTTTTGTCTTATGTCTTCTGCCTGGGTCTAATATTCTAGGACACTAATCCCAGAAGCCAAGGAACCACATCCACCAGCTATGGCTGTATTCTCCAATCTGTGGTTTTAGACATCTGATCTGGGTGGTCCCCTTGCAGTCAGCACTGTTCATTTATGCATATGACCTGGCACTGACAGGCCTTTAACAGAACAGAACAGACAAGTACAATGTAGATTAATTTTAGAAGTGTCAATTTTACAGAGAACAAAATAATGCTGGCACAAACTCAGTTTTACAGAGACAACATGAATTCTAGCTTTCTGTCTGAAAAAGCCCTCCTGCTGGCTGAGGCGGCACACACCTGTAACACTAGTACTCAAGGCTGAGGAAGGAGGATCTCTGCCAGCCTGGGCAACATAAGTTCAAGGCAAGCCTGAACTACATGTGGAGACTCTGTCCAAAATAAACAAACACCCTTAAAAGAAGCCCTCCTTTCTTAAATTATCAAAATGACTGTCCTAAATAGTCATAATTAAGGGTAAAGTCAATAAATGCTGAAAGAACAATTTCTGGAAGAAATCTTACTAAGTATACAGTAGTAAAAAGCCAAGTTTGTACACAGCACTTATGATTGGGGGAAAAAATAATTCAATATCACAGAAAAAAATTCTTTAACCATCTAGGGCAAATGAAAACTGTACTTAATCAAATTGTCCTTTCTAGAGGTCATTAGGACTGCTGAAGAGACATTTTTTTCCTTAGGCAGCAGCAATATTGTGGTGTAAAATGATCTATCAAGAAGCAAAATAGCTAACACAGTGTGATAATAAATAATTCAGCAAATAGCTTCACATATAAGCAGGGCATAAAGTTATCTCTAATGTCCTCAATTCATTCCTCACATAAATTACTGTTAAGGAAGCAGCCAATTTGTAGCGAAAATCTCACTTCTAAATGCCCAAGCCTAAAGTACAAATGTGCAATTAATGTGATGAGCAAATGCATTCTGCAAATAACACATACTCTTGCTCTTAAGTCCCACTTTAGGAAGAGCAATGCAAATGCAGTCTGCTACATTTAGTCACTTAATTGAATCAGTTAATACAGGATCATCAAAAATTGCATTTTTCATTAATTTTTATAAGATAACATAATAGGAAATACAAATAATTTTATCAAATTTATTCAAAACTTTTTCTGTGTATGGTGCATTTTAAAACATCCAATACATGATGCAGCATTACAATCTGAAGAGTAATATTTAATCTTTCCAAAATGTTTTTACATTACTTTTTTTGAACAACACACTTTACATTATTGTGTTGGCTTTTTTCTTCTGTGGGTGGTATAATTTCAGGGAAGCGTTTATTCTACTGAGCCATCTCCCCAGCCCTAGTGGTATAATTTCAATAAAATTTCTACCCACTAAATGTAATGGGGAAGATGACGCTGATGGATGTCCTTGCTGGCATTTAGCTATCCTGTATTTTTCAATTATCTGGTCTAAATGACATTTTTCTTTTTCTTTT